TAAAAATGGTCCAAAATCCACCCCGAAACCCCCAAAATCTGCCCAGAAACCCCAAAAATCCAACCAGAAACCCCAAACTCAGAATCCCCAAAAATCCCCCAAAAAATCCCCCAAAAATAATAATTAAAAAAATAATCAAAAAATCCGCTTTAAAATGTTCCAAAATTCACCCGGAAACCCCCAAAAATCCTCCCAGAAACCCCAAACTAAGAATCCCCAAAAAAACCCCAAAACAATCCCCAAAAATTCCCAAAAAACCCCCCAAAAATTCTCCAAAAAATTCCCAAAAATTCCCAAAAATTCCCAAATTTCACCTGCGCCACCTCCTCGGGGCTCTGGCCGAATGTGTCGAACACCTGGCGGGAGGCGGGCAGGAAATACCCCAAAAATGCCCCAAAAATCGCCATAAAAACCCCAAATAACCCCCAAAAAATTCCCAAAAAATTCCCAAAAAATTCCCAAATTTCACCTGCACCACCTCCTGGGGACTCTGGCCGAATGTGAGGAACACTTGGTGGGACCAGGCCAGAAATGCCCCAAAAATGCCCCAAAAATCGCTGTAAAAACCCCAAAAATCGCTGTAAAAACCCCAAATAACCCCCAAAAAATTCCCAAAAATTCCCAAATTTCACCTGCGCCACCTCCTCGGGGCTCTGGCCGAATGTGAGGAACACTTGGTGGGACCAGGCCAGAAATACCCCAAAAATGCCCCAAAAATCGCCATAAAAACCCCAAAAATCGCCGTAAAAACCCCAAATAACCCCCAAAAAATTCCCAAAAATTCCCAAAAATTCCCAAAAATTCCCAAATTTCACCTGCACCACCTCCTGGGGACTCTGGCCGAATGTGAGGAACACTTGGTGGGACCAGGCCAGAAATGCCCCAAAAATCGCCATAAAAACCCCAAAAATCGCCGTAAAAACCCCCAAAATTGCTGTAAGAACCCCAAATAACCCCCAAAAAATTCCCAAAAAATTCCCAAATTTCACCTGTGCCACCTCCTCGGGGCTCTGGCCGAAGGTGTCGAACACCTGGCGGGAGGCGGGCAGGAAATACCCCAAAAATGCCCCAAAAATTGCCATAAAAACCCCAAAAATCGCCGTAAAAATCCCAAATAACCCCCAAAAAATTCCCCCAAAAATTCCCAAAAATTCCCAAAAATTCCCTAATCCCACCTGTTCCACCTCCTGGGGGCTAAAAAAACAGGTGAGGAACACTTGGTGGGACCAGGCCAGAAATGCCAAAAAAATGCCCCAAAAATCGCCATAAAAACCCCAAAAATCGCCGTAAAA